TCTGTATATTCAAAATGATTAGGATAGATATATAGTTGCATTCTCTTAATGAATAGAGGGATTTGTTCTAATAGAGTTTGTAAATAGGATATCATGTCTGCATCTTGTACAGCAAATAACCACTAGGAAGAATGTATGCAATATGTTAATTATTGAAACTGTCCTACCAATTTGATTTGAAACTGTCTCATCGCTATTTGTTTTTTAATAAAATTATGGAAAAAAATAATGGAAAAAAGCAAAATAAAATAAAATAAGTAGCAGGAAAAAATAATTTATTTGGTAAGAAAAATTATGTTCATGACGTTGGACATGAAAATAGAGTTTAATTTAGTTGTTTTGAAAGACTTCATATTTTACTAAAAGATACTTACTTGCAGTGATTGGCTAAGACAGTCACGCAGTATTTCCTGATGATTAGGTTCACGTAGTATTTCAAATATTTGCTTTCTCTCTTGTATAGTGTGGGCTGGTGACAAAATATGTACAAGTAGTCTCCCAAGCTGCATTCGAAATGTTTCCTTGCAAGACCACAGAATTTTAGTCCACTGCTGCTTAGAGCCATTGGTTTTACTTGAATTCTTAAATTAAAATAGGAGTGAAATTAGGATTACATTTATTCAGTAGTAAAAGTTACAAAGACATACACACACATACACACATACATACATACATACATACATACATACATACAAATGAGAATCTAAGGGCAAGGAATGTATAACGTTCATAACAGCAGTATTTAAAATAGCTGAAATGTAAAAACAACTCAAAATTTCTTTTAATGGATGCACTTATAAACAAAAGGTAGATATACATTACAATGGAATATTATCCAGCCTTTTAAAAGAAACCAAGTTTTGATACGTACTTCACAACATGAGTGAACCTTGAAAATATTATGCTAAAAAATAAACACAAAAGAACAGATAGCATATGATTCCATTTATCTGAGGTATCTAGAATAGTCATAATCATAGAAGTAAAGTATAATAATGATTATTGGGGTTGGATAATGGGAGCTATTGTTTAACAGGAACAAAGCTTCAGTTTGGAATAATGAAAACATTCTGGAGAAGAGTTGTACAATGTATGACTGTACTTAATGCTACTGAATCATAAACTTTCAACAGTTAAAGTGGTACATTTTATGTTATATATATTTCACCACAATTTTAAATAGAAAGACAACCCTTAAAAAAGTCTCAAGGCATTTAAAAATTTCCAATGTCTCACAAACCATAAAGTTAAAAAAAAAACAAAACAAAAAACCAAGCCTAATGGCAGACAAACACACATTGATTTTGTAGCATAAAGGAGAAAGAAGCCATAGTAAAGACTTCAACTAGTATTATAATATTCAGTGTAACAGTCACAAAACCAAGTTAACCATCAAGTTTCCCTAATTTAGCTGGTCAACAACTAATCATAGTTCTAGTAACACTAAACTGGTTCTGATCAAATCACCTGTCTTGGATTTAAAACTGGAACTGTACATTGTTGGTGGGAATGTACTATTCTGAGATTGGGAATTTCTTATAACTTCTACTCCTAAGGGCTCTGTGTGAGTTACTTAATTCTTTTTTTTTGAATTATTTAATTCTAAGTGAATCCAGTTTGGATTGCTATTCAGAGCTGGCCAATAAAATCTAGTTTATATTTAGAGATTGGTAGTCATGACTTATAAGTCTTGGAAAAATTTGATTGGGGTTTGGTATCTAGGGAGTAAATTGACTGATTTTGCCCTGTGGTCAACTCTAAGTGACCACAGAAACTCAAGTGAGGTGATGATAAATGGAGTCTGATACATGTCAGGATTCTCTATCATTCTGAAGGTGTTAGATACATTTAACAAAAAACTAAACTTCACAATAATTCAGAAGACTCAAGAGTATACCTATAAACAGGGTTCTTTTACAAATAGGCCATTTTAAAGTTTCAGAGTAATCAGCAAAGTTCTTTTTTCTGATGCTACTCTCCCTAGACAACAACATTAGAAAATGGTTCTCAGTGAACAGACTTAAAGCTGCACAAAATAAGTCATTTGGGAATGAGCAACATATATTATTATAAAAAATTCAAGTTGCCTGAGTTTCAGAAAGCTCTCTGAAAGAGTACAAAGAAATACAATTGTATAAACGTGAAGTACAGACACATAAAACCTCTATTCCCTTTGAATATTTTTCATGTCCTTACTTTACTTACAATACACACTTTGAATCCTTCCATTAGATATGTGAACATTTCTTTCTGAAATGGATTAGAAACTGAAGGCTGTTCATGATGAATATTTTCCTCAGAAATTTCAGTCTGTAACACTGAAGTCTTGCTTTGAGTTGCATTTTCTGGAGTTCCCAAAATGTCAATAATGTCTGAATTAAACTCTTTAAATTAAATTAAGAATAAAAATTGGTTAAATCATTGATACATAATCATTACAAATGATGCTGGCAAAAATATGTAATTGCTAATTCATTTACACTATATAAATAGTTGTGCTAGACAGAGTCGAGGTATAATAGAGAAAGTAAATTCTCCTAAACAATGTAGAAATTTTTAAAATGTTATGAAAGGCAAAAAGTGTATATCAGAGACACTATATTATTTTAAAAAACAAATATCAATCTAAGATGCAATTTAACACATTTAAAAGTAGATTTTTAGGGTTGGGTATATAACTCAGCAGTGCAGCGTCTGCCTGTCAAATGTGAAATCCTGAGTTTGATTCCTGGTACCCCCAAAAAGTGGATTTTTATTGAAAACTATCAGTTCCAAATAAGAAATTCCTTTAATGATGTGGAAGATAAGAACAGAAAAACAACACTTTAAAATTTGAAAACTAGACCATTTCCTCTAAAGTGACCTTTCTTTTATTTAAAAGTCTAAGGAAGAACAAATTAATTCTACTGTCCTACCTTGATAAATGATCCTGTTGACTGCCAGGACCATGAGTCTCTGCAATCTCTGTGTAAGCTCTGCATCAGTGGCTTGGCTGGGGTTCTCCGTGCTCATTCTCCTCTGCATCATGGTGTGGAGCTCGTCACTGGCCACTGAACGCATTCTCATCAGAAGAGACTCAGTTTGGGCCAGGGGAAATTTTCGAGGACCTTCAAGTATATAAATTGAGATAGCCAATGCCAGTGTTAGTGATCCAGAGATCTATGTTTACTAAAAAGATTTGCTTATAGATTGTGAAAAGAACTTAATTACTATAAGGTTAATTTACAAAGGAAATAAAGTGATTAAAAGAAAATGATATTTTTCCTTCTTTAAAGAAGTGCAACAGTATCTCAGGTCTCCAAGTCTGAAATAACAGTGTTAAAGTCAATGACATTGCTTACCTGGAGGGATCTCATTTGTCAAGTTTGGAGTTTTCTGAAAAACCCAAAGTATCAGATGGGCATGAGTAGCTTTGAGTGTTTTAATTAAATATTTTAAAATACTGTTTCACTTCTTTATATCCCAAAATCATCAAGAGCATTTTAAAGCACACTGTGTTTTAGTAAGAACACTGCTATTTCTGGATAATTACTGTTGTTAAATTTTATAAATTAGTAATGAAAATTGTATATAGTGACAAAGTAGAAACCAGTCAGTAAAAGTAAAGAGATCAGAAAAGTGAATACAATTCCAGTGATTTGTTATAAAAATTATTTGGGGCAATGGATCATTTGGAATTCAATGCTATAAAAGCATTTCTTAAGAAACATTTCTTCTGATTGGATAGGTACAAGTGGTGTTCCTGTGTCATTACTACACCTGCTCCAGAAGGTATCACACAGGTAGAGCATCCAGGAGAAAACTGGGGGGAGGAGTCTTGATTTAGCAGACTGAAGGGCAAGGCCATTGGAAGTTGACCATAGGAACGAAAATGACGTCTTGGTAGATGAGGAATAACAGAACCCTTCATTGGAATTGAACCTTTGTTTGATATATGAAAACATATGCAAATTTCTATAAACAAGTGCTACAAAACTTACATATGACTAATTTATATCAAGCTTCTGCAAGATACTTAAAAATTCTTTCAGTGGTCTAAAACACCTGCTTCGGCAGGCACAGTGACCAACCAGGGTTTGATTCCCTGAGTGCTGTGCTGGCTCCAGTGGTAAAAGCCAGTAATCCCGGTACTTGGGAGGCTGAAAGCAGGAAGGATTGCTATGAGTCCAATCTACGTAGTGAGACCCTGTAGATTCCGTACCAAATACGTAAAAATAAATAAAATTAAAAATTTTAATTGTTCATTATTTTACATAATGAGTTATCTTTTTTTAATGCATTTGGTACATGGTCTCACTACATAGCTCAGACTCATAGTGATTCTCCTGTTTCAGCCTGCACAGCACTGGGATTACAATCATGTGCCACCATGCCAAGTCTCAATGGATGGTTCAGTGAGCCTGGGTCAGGGTCAGCGTAGCATGCATGTGGTGTCAGGGATTGAACACCAGTCCCTGCACTTTCCTAAGCAGGTGCTTAGTCTGCTGAGATATCTCACTGGCCCTCATAAAGTTATCTTAATATATTTAAGAAACAAAGGAAAAAAATTTTATTCTGTATATATTTAAGAATAATATTGTCAGACAGTGTTTTTAATTTAGGCAGATTATTCTTGAAATCTGTATCTATGATAATTTTCATGCTCTAGGAGCTGCTGATAAATCATAACCTAGAGGGATAGCAATATCATGAATGAAAGAAATATTAGTCTTCTCTAGTACTCGATGTTAGAAAAAGTGCAAGGGTATTCTAGCACTCATGCTTTGAAGACACAATGGGTGGGACTCTGGCAAGGTGGGATCAGTGGGCCCAGCGCACACAGGCATGTAGCTTTCCTGTGCCTGGTTCAACCATTTAGGAACTTTGGAGGACTCTGGGTGGCCTGTAAGACTCTAGTAATCTCTGACTCTTGGCTCCCAGCATGCAGGAATGGAGCTTGTACTGGCACTGGGCCAACCTTTTAAGAACTTAGGAAGATTCTGGGCAGCTCATGGGATCCTGGTGAATCTGGCCCATACCTGCCACCTAAATCAAAGCTTTGTTGAGTGGTGACCAGTCACCCCCACTAGTAGTGAGAGCCTTGGTGAGACCTACCCTGTCCCCACTATATCAGAAACCTTATTTACTCATTTCCTACCACTGGTAAGTTTGAGTGATTATTGGGAGCTTTAAAAATGCCAAAATAAGGGCTGGCCAAATAGCTCAGTGCATCAAGGCACCTGCAAGCAGGCACAGGGGCTGGGGGTTGGATCCCTGGGCCTGTTGTGCCAGCCCTGCCCCTGGGGCACGCTTGTGCTGAGATGGCAATTGAGATGGGGCATGGTGGCATGTCCCTGTAATCTTGGGAGCTCTTAGGAGGCTGTAAACAGGCAGATTATTATGAGTCCAATCTAGTAGTGAGACTCTGAACACCCTGTAGACCCTTCCCTAAAATACAAAAAAAAAAAAAAAAAAAAAAAAAAAAGCCAAAACCCCACAGCAAAAGGCAATCTCAATTCTCCAGCCCAGTCAGAACAAATCCAGGAGACAAGAACATACAAGAGCTTGGAAATCACACATCTAAAATTTCTGAAATAATAGCAACTGAAGTAAAGAAACAAGTCCATCAGGCTACAGAAGAGAGGTCTGGCCAAATAGTTCAGTGGATTAAAGTGCCTTCTTAGGCAGATGCAAAGGCTGGGAGTTCAATCCCTGGGTCTGCGGTGTTGGCCCCACCCAGAGGCACGCTGAGATGGCAACTGAGTCTGGGTGTGTTGGTGTGTGCCCATAATCAGCTCCTGGGAGGCTGTAAACAAGTGGATCACTATGAGCCCAATCTAGTAGTGAGACCCTGAGCACCCTGTAGACCCTTCCATAAAATACAAAAAGAAAAAAAAGCTATAGAAGAAATGAGATCAGAAATAATCTCTCAGGTCAAAAAAGAAATGACAACAATAATGAAAGAATTGCTCAGCACAGCTAAAGAAGATATAGATAAAAAAAAACAGAGGAGAACAGAAAAATGATGGAAACTTGAATTAACAATATAGGAAGGAACTAGAATGAATAGAATAGATTCAAACAGATATCCAGGAAATTAAGAATTCCATTGAAAGCTGGCAAAGCTGCTTGAACGAAACTGAAGATAGACTTTCAGACCTTGAAGACAGCAAAGCTGCTAATGAACATGAAAGAAAAGATCTCTTAAAAATAATAAGGGACCAGGAAATAATAATTTAGCAGCTACAAGACAACACAAAGAAAAATAATGTAAGAATAATAGGTGTCAATGAAACAGTAGGAAACAATATAAATGACATAAAAAGAATATTTGTGGAAGTGCTAGAAGAAAATTTTCCAAACATAAGAAAAGAATCTGACGTACTAATAAGTGAGGCACATAGAACTCCAAATAGCCATAATCAAAATAAATCTATACCTAGACACATAATAAATCAAGATCTCAGAAATTCAACAAAAGAGTAGAATATTAAAAGCTGCTAGAGAGAAGAAACAGGTCACCTACAGTGAAAAGCTCATCAGAATCAGCAATTTCTCAACACAAACCATCAAATCAAAAAGGGCTTGGAGTGAAGTATTTCAGGTCCCGAAAGAAAAAAACTTCCAACCCAGATTGATGTACCATGAAAAACTATCTATCCAATTCAATGGTGAGATAAGATCCTTCTATGACAAAGAACAACTGAAGAAATTCATAACCATCAAACTAACTCTAAAATAGTACTGATAGATATCCTAGAAAGAGACACAAACAACCACAGCTTCAAGAACAACAGAAAGGAACCACCAAACAGACCAAGAAGGGAAATTAAAAAGAAGGGAAAAGTACAGAACCTGTAGCAGGAAAATAACATGACAAAGCCAACCCAATACATATCGGTTATAATCATCAATGTAAATGGCCTCAATATACCAATAAAAAGAAACAGACTAGCCAACAATATGCTGCATACAAGAAACACATTTAACTCAAAAGGAAATGCACAGACTGAAAGTCAAAGGATGGAAAATAATTCTTTATGCCACAGGAAACCAGAATAAAGTAAGGGTTGCTATTCTGGTAGCTGACAATATCAACTTCAAACCAAAAATCAAAGAGTTAAAGAAGTTCTTTAACTTGTTAAGGAAAAACTGCAGGAGGAACAGGTAACAATTATAAACATATATGTACCCAATATAGGAGTATCTACCTACATAAGACAAATCTTAACAGACATGAAAAATCAAATGAGCAATAATACAATTGGAATGGAGGACTTTAGCACACCACTGTCACTGATAGATCAACGAGGCAAAAAAATCAGCAAAGAAATAACAAAACTAAACCAAACTTGTGAAGAAATGGGCTTAATAGACCTTTACAGAGTGTTTCACCCAGCAAAAACATAATACCCATTCTCAGCTGCACATGGGATATTCCCCAAAATAGACTATATAGCACACAGAGCATACTTAAGTAAATGCAAAGGAATTGAAATTATCCTGTGCATACTATCTGACCACAGTGTTGAAACTGGAAATTATTGAAAAAAGAAACTACAAAACACCATAAATGCATGGAATTAAATAACAACATCCTAAACAACCAGTGGGTCACTAATGAAATTAAAGAAATTAAAGAATGCTTACAATCAAGTGAAAATGCAGATACAACTTACCAGAACTTGTGAGATGCAAGAAAGGTAGGTGTCTTAAGAGGAAAATTTATAGTGCTAAACTAGCACATTAGGAAAACAGAACAAGCCCAAATAAATGATCTTAAGTTGTATCTCAAGCTCCTAGAAAAAGAAGAGCAAGTCAAGCTCAAAGCCCAAAGAAGGCAGGAAATTATAAAAATTAGGGGAAAATTAATGCAATGGAGATGAATAAGACTACACGAAAAAGAAAAGGATCAAAGAGTTGGTTCTTTGAAAGAATAAATAAAATTGATAAACTGCTAGCCAATCTTATCGAAAAAAAGGAAAGAAAAAACCCAAATTCATATAATAAGGAATGAAAAGGTGAAATCACTACAGACACTAGAGAAATTCATAAGATCATCAATACCTACTTTTTAAATCTTTACCCTTATAGGATGGAAAATACAGAGAATATAGACAGTTTCCTA